GACATTTAAAATAATACTTCATTAAAATTTTTTAAAAAGCAGAAGAGTTAAAACTTTGATCCCTGTACTTTTGTTGTATATGTTTTAGCTTGAGTTTACATATTTTATATTTTACATATTTACATATTTTACATGAGTTTACATATTTTACACATTTATTTGAGTTTACATAGTTTATAGTTGATTCAGGAACCTTATTGAACTCCATTATGCCAAGATGAGCCATAGCTTAAAAATATTTAGCTATCAGATAATAATAATTTGATTTATATTAAACCAAAGGTTCACCTTTGTACTTTTGGAATCAAACTGTGGACCTTGGTGTTATAAGCACCATGCTTTAACCAACTGAACTGGCCAGCCCCAGTTAGTTGCACTTTTGACCCAGAAACCTAGATTGAGAAATAAGTAACAACCTTACAAGAATATAGGTTAAATGCTATTTTTGGCAGATAAGTATCAAAAATTGTAGAATTTTAGAGCTGGAAGGATCTTGGTGAGCATGTCATCCAGTGATCTTATTTTATAATGGAAAAATACCATGGCCTACTGACTATTACACTGTTAAATTTGGAGAAACTCAAACTCAGTTTTAGTTTGTTTTGGAGGGTGGAAGGGGTAGTGATCCAAAACAGGCCAGTGATCAGATGGGAAATAAAGAGGTTTGTAACTGACTTAAAAAAAAAAAAAAAAAAAAGCTGTGTCTTTTTGAGTTATTAGGAGTTAGGAAGAAAAAAAGAAATCCTAATTTGCTAATAAAGTGCAAAGAAAGAAGTTCAAGAACTTGGCCAGTTTCTTTGAAAGTTAGTAACAGAGCCAAGATGAAAAGCACACCCTTGAGTATCAAGGCAACTTTTATTTATGTAATGTCAGTTGCTGTAACACCTGTTTAGCCTACTGAACCATGCTGCCTCATAATGCCCCTGTGAAGCTGCCTGGAGCAGGGTCAGCTTGTGAGTCTGGGAGGGTGAGCAAGTGAAATAACAAGAGGAAATGTCTGAGGAAGGTCCCTTTGGGTAAGAGAAAAGACAAATGTTGGTATCTTAATTCCTCCAAACCTAAGTAGTTTGTCTTATGGCAGCAGAGCCATTCTACTAATGGGAATACCAGAGTTGTTGAAAATTTTTGAAAAGATAAAGCTGTCCCTTGGGTTCAGTGACTTAATGGCTTGCAAAGGAGTTATAAAAACTAAATATTTTAGGCAGTGAAAAACTGGATTCTTAAAACTTACCTCCAGATAGTGTAAACAGAAACAAAGTACTTTTAGCCTCTTGGAAGTAAATGTTATGATAAAATAATGATTTGAAAGTTGAACTAAAAGTTGTAAGGCTCAACTTAAAATACAAAATACATGTAAAGGCAAATATGTGCTTCAGTGCTTACATAGTAAGTTCCACTCTTTGTTACTAAAGAAATCCAGTTACTTTGTCCTGAACTAAAGTTTCTGTAAGAGTGTGCTGTTATTTTAGATAAATACAAATGTAAAACTGATGAGTTTATGGCTTAAATAAATAAGCTAGTAGTTAATATGTTTTATCATTTAGCCCCCAAAAATAACTCTCTGAGGTGGTATTGTCATTATCCCCATTTTCAAGCATGGAAACTGGGGATTAGAGAAGTTAAGTAACTTGTCCACAACCACAGCCCAGTAAATGATGAGCCAGGACTTAACTCACTGTTAGACTCCAAACCCGAGCAACTACTAAAAGTTGTTGCTTCATTTAACTTAATTCCAAGTCCATAGATTGTTAACCTCGTATGTGTTTGATAGCCTTTGTTTATGAACAGTTTGCATAATTTACTTTTATCGATTGATTGATTGATTGGACAGACTGCCGATAGGGGGATCTGAACCCTTGACCTTGGTGTTATAACACTGCGCTCTAACCAACTGAGCTAATCTCATAATTTCCTTTTAAAGCACTGGTAAATATTAAAGCTTTATTTTTTTTATTTTTTTTTATTTTTTTTTGTCTTTTTTCGTGACCGGCAACGGATCGCAACCCTCAGTGTCGCGCCCAGACCGGGACCGGCAACGGGATCGCAACCATCGGCGTCGCTCCCGCACCTCGCTCAGCCAGTGAGCGGCCGGTCTGTATGTGGGATCCGAACCCTCAGCGGGAGCGCCGCCGCACTCCCAAGCGGCGCACTGTAGCAGTGCACCACCGGGCCGGCCCAATATTAAAGCTTTAAAAGTAGTTTAAAAGTAGTAGTAATTTTTTTTACCATTAGTGATCACTAGTAATAAAAAAATCTAATAAATTAAATTTCAGTTAAAAGATGATTTACTGATCTTTGAGTTCTTCAGTTAGCAGGCTGGAAAGCCATGGTGGCCTATCTTACTGATACCCAATAGCAATATTGCTGAGATTGGCAACATTTTAGGGAAAACACTATAAATCCAGTTATTCTAAGCAAAACCATACAACATACCAGATTTACATTGCATTTGAATAAAATATTTTTAAAATAATTTATTAATTGGCAAATATCATATATCTTTGTATCTTAAGTGCTTTGTACAGCACCTCCTTGGCACACAAAATAGGGACCAAGTTATTTTAAGTAAATAAATGTGATTATTAAAGTTTTAGGATTGAAGGCATATATAACTTGTTAGATTATAATTTTTTTTACATATCTCTGAACATTCCTTTGCTGGGAACATATTTTATACTGTATCAGCAATAATATTAGTCTCTGATTCCCTTGTGGCTTTTGAAGAAGTCTTTTCTTGGTGTTGTTATTTCCTATTGTTTCAGCTTTGGAAATCTAGAGAAACCCAGTGAAGATTTAATATTACAAAAAAATAAAATACTTAAAACATTAAGTATACACTGAAATTATTTATCAAAACCAGAAATAAGTAGAAAACATTTACTTATTTGAAAAATGTTTCTTAATAGAAGCCTAATGATTCAGTTAAAATATACAGAAGATAAGTTATTGCAAGTGTCCGTGGGATAATACTTGAAGTTTTTGTTTGAGAGTTCAGGTCTTATTTTTGCTTAAGACATTTATTTATACCCATTTTATATTTTACTTTATAAGTTAATTTTATACTTGGGTATCCTAATACAATTTTACTTTTCTCTTTTGTTTAATTACTGCTAACATTTTTTTTTTTTAAATACTGCTTATTTCAAAGGAAAATAATGTTTAAAAGATGTGAAGCATTTAATCCTTGAATGCTGGAACCACTTTTAAAGTATTGTAAGCACATCTGTATTACATTACACAGGGAAAAGAATGTATGCATTCTATGGTCTATGGGCACTAGGGTGGCTGGTTTAGAAAAACTGAGTATTTTACACTTCAAGTTTCTCTTTTATGTAAAGAATGTTCTGCAATTCTAAAATGAATAATTTAGTTCCAGGGATGGGGTGTGTGGTCAGGAAAGCATAAGTAAAGTTTTGGTTTTACAGTTGTTCTCTCACTTGTCACCTACTACTTAAAAAGAAATCAGTTTTTATAGTGTGCTTAGCTTTGCATTTTGTCAAACACCTCTGTTTTCCTCTCTTTGAAAACTGTTGCATGGGACAAACTTAGAATGCAGAGAAATCACTACACCAGAGTTCATAATAAGTGTGCTGCATGTCTCAGTTAGCTGTGAGTTATGGTGCAAATAATTTGTTACTATTAAGAAATACCAAGGTTTTTGAATGATTTGACTCTTAAAATTACAGCAAATTCAAATGTATCACTATGATAGCCTCACTCTTGGTTATTTGTATTCCACTGTGCTTTCTTGAATGGTAGGGAAAAGGATGGAGTTAGAGTTGTCAGGCTGAGTATCACATGGGACGTGTGTCTTGCTTGTGAATATCATCTGTCATTGGTGGAGTTGGAGGAAAAAGCTGGAGAACTCTGCACTACACTGGTAGATAGGTTCTCAACTTTTTCCTCTTTGGCAAGAAGTGATATTCACATGCCAACATACTTCCATATGCAACCACTAGTGACCTATCTGAAATTCCACCCCTTTATGTCCCACCCCAGAAAGTAAGCAAGAGAGAATGTTATGAGAATGCATCTTTAGTCAACTCAAACCTAACTATTTTTTTTTTCCTTTTTGTCTTTTTTACTGACCGGTAACGGGATCGCAACCCTCGGTGTCACGCCCGTACCAGGGACTGGCAACGGGATCGCAACCCTTGGTGTTGCGCCCACACCGCGCTCAACCAGTGAGTGGGAACCGGTCTCCACATGGGATCCGAACCCTCGGCGGGAGCGCCACCACGCTCCCAAGCGGTGCACTCTCCAGTGCGCCACCAGGCCGTCCCAAACCTAACTATTTTTTTAAAGTAATGACTTGAGAAGTCTATACTTCATGAATATTAGTATCTAATTACCTGTGACACATTTGACAGCCATGTCATGATTCCATGACTGATAAACTTCATTTTTCTTTAATTTTGTGCTTTGCCTCGTTCAGAAAATTGAACCTGATTTTCTAAGTTTCAGTATGAAGGCAGGCCAAATTTAACTGTATGACAATAAAAATTTCTGGAAACAAGTTATAATTAGAATTGACTTTTTGCAAAAGTATTTTGTAGCCATTGCTGCCATGTGTTACTAGAAATATTTGTCTTAGGATCATTGTTTGCTTTTCTTTTAAGGCCCAAAGTAAATACATTTGAGCAATTTGAATTTTTAGCTAGTAATTTTTTTAGCCAAGAAAAATTTATGACACATTAAACAGATATTATATAAAAGTTTTAACTATTCCTTGCTTGATATGAAAATGAATGACTTGTTCTAGAGCTTTCCTAATGTTAAAATATTTTATAGACTTTTTAGTTTCAGAACTTTTATAATAATAGCTCTTCTACCTGGCTTTTTAGAAGGTATTAATCTTACTATGCTGTAAGGAAATAACTATTAAGTTAATGTCATCACATTTTAAAAAATTTTAATGTAAGGACTCTGGTATATTTATTTATGAGTAATTTTGAATATTAACAGTGTTTTTTGTTTTTGTTTTGCTTTTTAATTACAAGATATTATGAACTGGATCCTTATAAAAGTCTCCTAGACAATTTAAGGAAGAAAGTGATCATTGAATACCCAACATTACATGTGGTATTGAAAGGATCCAGTAATGACATGAAAATTCTTCACCAAGGTAGGTGTAAATTTGTTCCTGCAATGCTTAGAGTAACTAGAGAAACTGAAGCAATTACATGATTACACTTATTTTTTTTATATATGTGCTTTCCCACTATATTTGTGCACTTACAGAATTTACTCTCTAGCTACAGTTAATGTAAAGAACCAAATGAATGAGCTACTGCTTCTACCTTGTTTGAAAGCATGGAAGCTTATAATACCAATTTTTAATGAATGAATCAAATTGTCCTATATAAGAGGACATTTTTTGCCTTATTGGGTCTTTGTTTATTTTTGTCTTTTTTAAGCTAATAGTCTTTAAGTAACAGTCTTTGTGCATGATCAGATAGATTTACTCCCTAGTTAAAACTTTTTCTCTAGAGTTTCCTAAAATGAGGGATTATAGAACATTTTTGGTGTCCTACCTTAGAGGAAGGGATAGTGTTGCAAGAAACACTTTAAAAATCAGGCTGTCTTTAGAATAAGCTGAAAAGAATAAGACTTGACCTTTTATCTCCTTTTTTAAACCCTTTGATTTTTTTTCCTTGGCTGTATGGATAAGTATCAGAACTGGAAGAGGTATACATGAAGGTTTAGTGTATAAAACAACTTACCCATATTTGCAGCTACTGATTGAAATAAGCTAATTGTGTTTCTGAATGCAGGATTCTAGAGGATGAGTAAAATTCAGTAATTACTTTATAAAGGTGAGGAGGTTACCCACCTTATCTCAAAACCATTAGATACCACTTTCCACTAAGAATGATAAGTACAGGCCAGCTTCCATTGTAACAAACTCCAGAGGAACATAGAATCCTTGTTTTGGGTAGAACTCTGTTTTTTTTTAAATAGTATTATTTGAAAGGTAAGGTTCAGGTTTTATAGTTATACCAGCATTACAGGATATAACAGGCAGTAACCTATGTTGTAAGGTGTACTCTGTACATATATGTAGCTTTTTGGGGGGTCAGGAGTTAATAGGAAATTTTTTTCAATGCCCAGAATTTTTTCAGTGCCACAAATTGAAACTAATTTTTATTAGCAAACATTAAGTTTCTAATAATAATTAACTTATCAGTCTGTAAGTCTTATGTTTATATTTTTCACAATTTGAAAATACTCAATTTTATTTTCTCAAGATAAGTTAAAAATTTTAGTTTTAAATGACCAGTTTCACTTTTTTTAACTTTGTAATACTTTACTTTTTCCTTAATATAATTCACATAGTGCTCTCTCTCTAAACGTTGGTTTCAGGGAAAGTTGTTTAGTAATGTGGGTTACTAGCTAGGGCAAACATTGTTTGTGTAAATAAACACAGCAAACACAGCTCCTCTTTTACCTTGCTTAGGAATGCACATTCAAGTAAGGCTTTCTGTAATGAAGCTTTCAAAAAAGACTACTTTGGTAGTGTACGTGGAACCTTATTAAGTAAAATGTGCTATTTTTCTGGTGGTTATATGATATTTGGCTAATTTACAGGAACACAGGGGATTCATGCTTTCAGTACAGAGGATTATTTAGAACTGCTGGAGCAAAGAACGGAAGAGAATTTGACAGGATTTTAAGGGCCATACCAGTATTGTCATATCATAAGTACGCACACCTTAAAAATGATGCCAGGTCTTCCTATACATGCATTTCTTTCTGTAAGCACTCAAGGTGTCTGTGTCTTTGCATATTTTCACAGCATGGTTATTCTGCAGGGTGGTCCCTTGATGAGGGAGGGGAATTTTATAAGAACAGGGCATTTTCTTTGGAAAGCTTTGAAATTCCTTCTTTTTCCAGAGGCAGAAAAGTTGGATTTTGATCCTCAGTTCATAGTACAAGGTGTCTCTTTTCTAGTTCAGAGGTAAATGTGTTTCTGGGCTAGGATTCAGTAGTTTCTTCACTTGATCATTGTTACAATGTTTGTTATGATTATAGATTGCCATAATTTATTTTTTCAAAAGTCTGCCTGTATTAATTGGCAATAGGCAAGGGTTTTTTTGTTTGTTTTTTGCTTTTTAAGGAGTGAAAAAAAGTTGACTGTAGAAGATTAAACAGTTAAGGTAACCCACTAGATTAGAGATGTAGAGTGCTGATTACCCATCTATATCAGTCCTGTGGGAAGTGTTCAAAATGGTGTAACTTGCTTCATAGGCCCTTGTTTGTCAAAGTTAGACTGGCAGATTTAAATGATTTGATAAAAGCATGCTGCATTCCAGTCCAAGGAAAAGAGAAAGTGCCCTATTAAAAGAAAACTGGGCACCTTCAGTAGGTAAAGAAAGGGAAAAGCATTTCCCACACTGCTACAAAGCCCCATTAATTTAAAAATATCAGCAAAATATATTTCTCTGACGTACTAACTCAAAGTTAGAAAATGCCTCTAACTTTAGAGAAAGAATCTAATCCTAAATTGATTATTTAAATTATTGAAAAATACCTGACATAGCAGCTACTCATGTCAGTCTGTTGTTGAGCCAATAAATCCTTTCATCCATTCTTCCTCACTCTCCTTCCTTCATTCTTCCTTACCCATCTTTTCTTCCTTTCCCTTTTAGTGTGTGCAGGGGATGGGGAGGATCTCAGTCACAAGTGCTATAATAGAGTTTGTCTAAAGTTCAAAGGAAGCCAGAGGAGAAAACAACTAACTCGTAATATCATGGAGGCACTTGAAAGATTTTGCTAGAGTTTATAAAATTCCACAGGAGTCGAGACCATATCTTGGATGGAACCTATTTCAGTGCTTTACTCATGGAAAGGACTCAGTAAACACCATTTTGGTTGCTGGTGCAACCTGAAATTGAAGTACCATCAGCCAATCCCAAGGAACTTGTCAGTTGGAATGAAGGCAAAGGTCCAGGTTTATGATTCTAGCATCAGCTTTCATAAGCTGTAGACCCTTGAGCATTCACTCTGCCTCTCTGAGCTTTATTTTCCTCATCTACCCAATGGAGATAAACAACAGCTATAAGCCTCAAACAAAATAATCTGTATTTTAACCTTAATTTTCAAAGTGTTTTTATGTGTTATTTCCTTTAACTTTATAATACAACAAAATAGTTACTCTGGTTCCCATTTTGCAGATTAAAAAAAAAAAAAAACTAAAGTAAAAGTTGGAGTGACTTGCAGTTATATTGATTCAGCAAAAATGCTTCACATTGTGAGAATAGATATAGGGAGGAAAGGTCCAGTTTTTGTCCTCAGAGAACTCTCAGTTTAACGACTAAACCATACTTGGTCTTGCTCACTCTAGGCAAGACAGGAGCATCCAAGAAACTCCCTTTCAGTTTTATTTCCTGTGAAAGGAAGGAAATGGCGATTAGCTAGTCTCTGTCAGCCCACATTCACTCAACATATACTGACCTTCAATTTTAAGTTAAAAAAAAAATCATGGAAAATTTTATTCCACCCACAATGTGGCCAATCTGTGTGATAATAGTGATCTGTTCAGTGGCATGAGCATGGGATCATAACCACGCTGTGAAGTGACCATTCCCAAGTCTTCCACAGTCAGGAAGGATGTTACCTCACGAAATATAATTGCCACTTTCAGACATCACTTTTCTATTTTTGTGGCCAGAATTGTACATCCCGCTGCCTGTCTGTCTGTCCTCATGAGTAGTGTTGTTGCTATGCATCAGAAGGGAGGAAGGATAGAAGAGGGAAAAACAGAACAGGCTACACAGAAAACAGTATAAACACTTGACTGTATGTTTACTTATTCTTTTCCAGTGAAAAGTGAATCTACCAAGAACATTGGCAATGAAAATTGAGCACTTCTTCTGGAAGAAAAAGATGAAAATTCCCAAACAGTTGCAGAGGACTGTGCATTGATGAGCTGTCAGATGATTGGGGTATAGTCAGTGGGTGGTTGGAATTTTTTGTTTTTCTAAAAAGAAATTAAAGAATCTTATTTTAAAAATGTATTTTATAGCCTCTTGAATTAATTGACTTGTAAGGCCCCCTGCTCATAAGAACCCACTTTTGCACCTGATCAGCATAGTGCTTTTTGGGCATAGGCTGATAACTTTTTTTTTTTTGGTTAGTTTGATGTAAGACCAAACCCAAGGATCACCTGTGTCAACCACAAAGTTGGCATTTGCTTAGTGGAACTTCACTAAACAGAAAGACTGTGAAACATTCCATTTAACCACAGGAGAGCTAGTCCTCTATCAGTTACCCATTCTTGTCTTTTGAGGTTATATGCAACTTATCCCTTTTGAGACAACTTTTGTACTTGGGAAACTCCCAGTACTATGTCTTTTGTAAAGGCTGTGTAAGTACATTAACTACTGTTTCTTATATTCAGTTCAGAAAATCAGCAGCTCCATGTTGTTTGAACAATCAGTGCTAATGAATTTGGCTCTACTTGTTCACACAGTGACCTGTGTTGTATGAATTCTGTGCCTTTCATCGCATTCCCAGTCCACTGTCATCATCATTACCACAAGGGGTGTTGTGATGAAGAGTTTTATGCTGTATTTTGGTACATCTAGCAATAATTAAAGAAAGAAAAAAAAAAAAACACTTGGAGCTTTTCAATGTGTTCTTAAAATGTATATGTGTGTAATTATGTATATATATATGGCTTAATTTATACCTTATGGGAGCTCTGTATATGTTATGATCTCACATATTGAAATTAAAGTTTTCTAATTTTATTGGAATTTATGCAGTTATAAAATTGCAATATGACTATAAAAGTAAAAGATTACTTCTGTATTGCATCTGTGCACTTAATGATTTAAAAAACAATGATAAAGTTAGACATTAATGAAATTCATTTTTAGTTTACAATTGGAATAATTTTTAGACCAAACCAGAGGCATTAGTAAAGAGACTTAGACAGATGAGAAATATGAAAAGATGGGAAGATGAGCATAGAAGAAACTTGTAGAACACAAATATATATAACTTGGGATAGAAATTGAATAGAATCCAGACATTAATGCCGGAAAGATCCTTGGTATTAAAGTACTAGTGGAAATGTGATTCATAAAAAGTAAGGCCTCACAATTTAAGAAATATGTAAACATCCTAAAGCAACTTCAGGAATCTTCTGATGTGCTAGAGAATTTGTAGAATTGTGTTGTTCACAGTGTTACTGGAAAGACCACTAAATGGGATTTCATGGGATTCAGATTTAATTTAAAAGTGAAATGTGTCTTATTGAAACAGGCAAAAAATAGGATGAATTGAATCAAATGTGTCAGAGTTGTTATTGGGAAAAGTGGAATAAACTACACAAAAAGAACATGTGATTTGTATATCAGGGTGGGGAGGAATTTCCTGACAGTGAAGTCTGTTATGATGTAGTCTCATTTCCAAGAAAAGTGTTGAGTTCCATGCCTTTTAGAATTTAAATTGAAAACTGGACAAAAAGGAGTTATCCTGTACTTTTCCCTGCCCAGGAGGAAAAAGAAGAGGGGGAAAAAATCTACATTATCTAATGCATCTTTGTCGTCTCTATTTTCTAGAATTCTATTAGACCTTTCAGTTATGGACTATTTCTTAGGAAAGACATTAACTAGCAGAGTTTCCCTATATATAACTATCAGCTCATTTGATTAATTCACGTATTTATTCCCACAGGATTCACATTAAACATGTGTTTTAGTGAATAACCATGTCAAAGGCTTGGAAGGGGAGAAATTGGAATACTTCACCAAGAGCCCTAAAAGTTTGTAGTATTTAGATCCAGTTTCTTTTTAGAGTCCCTCTCCATTTTGGATTCTTGACAAATTCTGATGAGTAAACAAACTCTTGACCCATATTAAGTTCAACATTTTGTTCATGAATCACATTTTAAAAGGAGAAAAGCTCCACCTGGCATTCTTTAGTTTTTAAACGACTATTTCAAAGAAAAGATAGGCCTTTCACAATTGCTAATTACTGCATGAGATTAATAGCCATAAATTACAGTAAATAAAACTTGCACCTGTTCCTTTTATAAATATGAATTAAAGAGAGTTGCTTTAATAGATATTTAAGATTCCACAGCATTATTGAGCCAGTTTGTTTCCCTGTAACAAGTAGTGGGATACAAGTTTCACAATGTATGATAGAATGTTATGCACATAACTATAATGCCAACAATTTCCTTTACACATATTGTTTAATTAGTTTGACATAAACTGTGTGTGAAGGTGATTTCATATTACTCAACTCATATTACATCATGTGTTGTACCCAATTTCATATTGCTAAATTTTTTTTTTTTCCTTTTTGTCTTTTTTACTGACCGGTAACGGGATCGCAACCCTCGGTGTTGTGCCCGCACCGTGCTCAGCCAGTGAGCAGGAACCGGTCTCCACATGGGATCCGAACCCTCGGCAGGAGCGCCGCCGCGCTCCCAAGCAGCGCACTCTCCAGTGCGCCACCGGGCCGGCCCCATATTGCTAAATTTTATGCAAAGGTGCTGATCTACTTTTATTTAATTATACACTATTATACTAAAACCCCTTAAGTTTATTCTCAGGTAAATGTTGTGCGCCTTTGATTATTAACTAATCATCCTTCAGTTGCAAATGACAAAATCAAACTAGTGTCATTGTGAAGGGCAATTTATTGGCTTGTATACAGGGAAGTCCAGGTTTGTTTAGATCCAAACACCCACAGATGTCATGCCATTCTCCACAGTTAGGTCTAATCCCCGCCCGCCCCCCCCC